TTTAGCTTTTTTATTTAAGGGGTTTCACAATATCCCTCAATTAAGTAACTGACGCATCGTCAGCATCTTTATCTCAGAATCATCCACCAGACATATATGATTCTAGTGATATCCCCTACAAGTTCAAGTGGTAGCTCCCTTCATATAGCACTTAACCCATACATGGCTTAAGAGGTGGCTCCCATAATATAGTTGGGTCAAATTTGGTGTTATTGGGTTCGATGCAAAATCAAATTGGAAACTTCAAAAATTAAATTTGGGATCATCCAAACTCCAATTTTAACAAACTTATAGTCTAACTAAATGTCTCAGCAAAACAATAAACATGGATATTTTTAGTAGCTCTGTATTTTATCTGTATGTCTGTGTATTGGAAGAAAATCTGAAAACAAATTTCAAAGCTAGATCCTGGATTCATCCGTTGTGACTCAACGTGATGGGATTCGTTCCGGTCGGGTTGGGTCGTGACATCATGGCACCCACATAGCGATTTTTCAAACTAGCACTTTCACTCCTTCAACCAAAACCAAATTCCCATTACACATTCCAAGATTTAAATTACACATTACATTAGATACAAATATGTACTTAACTGAGTTAATTTAATGACACTAATTTTGTATGGTGGGTGTTACAAAACCGCACCTTGAAAATTCAATATAAGTTAGTCCAAACTGAATGTCGCAGAAATACCAACCGACAACACCAAATTAGACCCAATCCAAGCTCAAATTGGTTCCAAATAGAAGACCCGAAGCACATTTGGAAGGTTCAAACCATAATTTGGATTATCAAATAGTTTCCAAACATGACATGCATATAGTCAAATCGAGCAGCTCAACAAGACGAATCCAACGAGCACAATATCGTCGAATTTTGATATCATTAAGACATTCAAATGCCCAATAAACTATCTATGATCAAATGATTCAACATCGTTGTCCATTCAAACCACTCCCAACTTGCCCCCTGTTCTCCTCCTTATTTACTAGACATGCCACTCTCAGAAAACTATAAATAGACGCATCATTTTTCTTAGAGAGGGGGCTCCAAAGGGGGGGGAAGAAGGAGGCCTAAGCAAGAAGAGAAGAGAATGAAGTAAGAAGAGAAGGAAGATACTCATCCTCGACCACCGCCAAACTTTCACCCGGTAGCCTACCGACATCGACTGCTCAAATGCATCTAACGTCAAAGTTTTGCCCTACCGATGACTGACATCAGACTTCTTCCCGATGTCGGACCTTCGCTTATCGTCGGACTCTCATCTAATGCTGAAGTTATACCTGGCTGCCGACTGACGCCGGACTTGTACCCTACACTGGACCTCTGCTTGTCATTGGATTTTTACCTGACGCTGAACTTCTACTAGACGCTGGACTTATACCCGTCGTTGGACTTCTATCTAATGCTAGACTTCTATCTATCAAAAACTTTTACCTGACATCGGACCTCCGCTCGTTGTCAGACTTCTACTAGATGTCAGACTTCTAACCAAAAATGGACTTCCGGCCGTCACCAGATGCCAGACTTTCGCCCATCACTGTAATTGCGTCATACTTCTACTCGTCGTCAGACTTCTATCTGACGCTGGACTTATTTCCATTGTTGGACTTCTACCTGACATCATTCTTCCGACCTTTGTCGTCAAACAATGGTATTTATGACCTCCATCGCCAGCCGACTATGGTCCTTCCGACTTAAGTTGTACATCGACTACAATCCTTCCAACCTCCGTTGTCAGACAATAATCTTTATGACCTTCGTCGCTCGCTGACTATGGTCTTTCCCATTTACGTCGCCCCCCGACTATAGTCCTTCTAACCTCCTTCGTCAGACAACGGTCTTTATGACCTCCGTCAAATACGGTCCTTCCGACTTACGTCGCTCACCAACTACAACCCTTCCGACCTCCGTTGCCCACCGACTATGGCCCTTCTGAACAAGCGAACATGTCAACAGTGATTCTTCCTATTTTCATCATGTAACACACATCATGTAACACACTCTATATGATGTACATCAAGTTAAGATCTTCCCCTAAGGAAGGGCCTCGTTTGTAATCAACTACAAATACTAGTTGATTCATTCAAACTGAGCTAGACCCCGTAGTTTTTCTCCTTTTTAGGGTTTTTCACGTCAAAATCATGGTACCTCTTATGAATGACGCACCCTATCTTTTAATATGTTTGTGTGCTGGATTTTCGTACAAAGCTGAGACGTTAAACTTTATATTTCTCTACCGCCACGAATATTCCAAGACGCAACATATATACATAAATAATTATTATGACCCAACAATTTAGCGCTCTAGACTTAGTGCTACAACACTCTCTCGGGGACTAGATGTAGAATTGTAGATCAATTGGCTGAAAGCCTGAAACTATAGGGAACTCTATAATGCTGACTATAGGAAGCTCAAATTGCTTAAGTGTCCTCTAAATACATTATAGTCGTGACAGTAAGAAGCTCTCGCTTACAGAAGAGTGGTGATCAAATTTGAAGGCTCTCATTGAGAAGAGTTTTAATTTAGCCCCGCATAAATAAACAAAAAATAAATAAGAATATAATCTGGCTACCAAATTAAAATATTTTTTTTAATAAATTATTCCTGACGTAGTGAAATATTTTATTTTGAGTAAAATGTGCTTTTTCTTTATGCAAAGTTGAATCTATCCAACCAAATAATAAAGCAATATGAGTTTATAATTAATATTGTAAAGAGCATAGTACATCTCGGATATGACCAAGTGGTCGGAAATCAAAGTACCGGACGGTGACTACAAATTCTTTAATTTAATTAATGATATCGCCGGCGAAGTTGGTTAGGAAAAAAAAAAAAAAAGGAAGGTTTTATGCTGGCAAGCGTATGAAAGTGACAAGTGGTAGAACATTAGGACTTGGGAGGTAAGTTTCATGAACGATGTTGCGTCAATACAGTAGCAATCCGTACACTACATTTAATAAATTTTATTTGACCTATCATCTTGTTTAATGAAATGAGATTTATTTAGTATAGGAGTGTCAAAAGGGGTCAACGGGAGTAGTTCGGGCTAATTCAAATTGACAGGGATATAAATGGGTTGACTCTAATCTGACACGATTTTACAAATAGGTCATGAATTTTTAACCTGGACCTATCCCGTGCAGATTACTGGGTTGACCCGACCCGCGAATTCGGACATGGTTGCCTCGCTACGGCCTACGGTGCGGGATCGCTCATTCGTGTTGTGGCGTTGTGCCGATTGTTGCGATTGAACTGGGCTGGGGGGCTAGGCTGTGCCATCTGAGGTGAACAACGAGCCTGACTTGCGTGCATCTGTTAGGATTTATGGAAGTGTATGGATCGTCCCCTCTTGATTCACATGGTTTTGTTCTTAACACAAATTGATTTTGGGTTTATGAGTTGGATGGTTGCATTGTTCTATTTTGTCTACTTTAGTGGCCATGTTATTTTCCTGATTATTGTAATCATTTTAACAGCAAAAGAAGTAATGAAAGTTGGTTTGAGTAAGGTCTGGCTTGTGATTTAATTGATCTTCATGAATCTGAGAAGTTTCTTTGATTCGTTTGTGAGCCTTGTCAATGATTAATTTCAAGACCTGTTAATTCCTATATTCCTTTTCATTCTCTTTGGCGATGAAACAAATAATGAATGCTATGCTTATGTATGTGACTTTTTGAGAATCATGATTGTAAATTGATAAAGTTTGTGTCTTTTATTTGGAATCAGGTTCGAGTTTTTTTTTTTTTCCTTTAATTGAAATCTATGATAAGTTGTGGGATTTTTTTTTTTTTTAGTTTCTCTTTCTTGAGAAATTGAAAACAAGAGAAGAATAATTCAGCATTATCTGTAACTCGTCTATTTTTTGGTATTGAAAAGTTAGCATCATATGTGGTTCTATTCTGGTTTCGGTTTTGGTAAAGTGCTAAAGCATATTTTGATTATGTGATTAGTCTAACTAATAGAGATGCATGATCACTTCTTAGTGTATTAAATGTGTTGTTTTGTTGGCGAATTCAAGGGATTGAAGTGTTGTGAGTGTGCCTCTTTCATCCTCGAGTTTTAGCATTTCTTCTTTAGAAGTTTTATTGATATTTTTGAATTGTCATCTCTTGAGCTTTTCAATAAAAATGAATTGGTGTGAATGGAAAGGTGAAAATGGGTAAATGTGGAAAGTAAAGTGTATGTGAGTTTTGGAAAGTGAAGTGTGTTATCTTGAAAGGTAAAAAGTGATTTTGGAAGGTGAGGTAGAAAATTTTGGGAAAATGAAATGTGTATGTGAAATGTAAAGTATATGGTTTTGTAGGAAGTTTGTGGCTTGAAAAGTGCTCTTTGTGTGTAAATTAAAGAAATGGAAAGTGTAATTTTGGAAAGGTAAAGTATTTTGATGAACACGTCTTTTGAAAAGTGTATTGTATGTGTTTTGGAAGACAAAATGAAATGTGTTGGAAAGTTAAGTGTGTGTTGGGAAGTGTATGAATCGTGAAAGTGGAATATGCAAATGTGGTAAAAGTGAATTATGTGGAGTTTGGAAAGGTATTGTGTGAGAAAGATGAAAGGTAAAAGGTGAAATGTGGAAATGCTGAAAGAGAATTTGGATTGTGAGAAATGAAGTGTAGGTATGCTAAATAGTATTTTAAAGTATATAATTGTTGAAAGTTGGGGTGTTTTAAGAGGTGAGGTGTATGGATGTTGGAGAGTGAGTTGTTTGGGTAATAATTGGAAAGTTAAATTTTAAAGAAAAATTTAGCTTTTTATCTATGTCTACCCTTCTCTCTCTCTCTCTCTCTCTCTCTCTCTCTCTCTCTCTCTCCTTCTTCTTCCCCTTCGTTGTGCCTTGGGGTGAATTTTGGAGAAATACAATATATGTTTTCAAAGGTGGAAAGTTCAAAAGGAAAACAACCGAGCCGGTTTGCAAGCCTGAAAAAAGGTATGTTTTGATTTAATAGTATTTTTTCAAATTATTTCTATTGTGATTATTAAATGTGCTATAATCCTTTTTTGTTTCTTTGCTTGTATGAACTACGAGGAATGGTACCGATCAAGTAAATAAAAGTAAGTAGACTAAAGGTATCAGTCGCCTCTATCCAATGGGTGGAGGTGCTACGGTCGGATATCACCGGACATTGGCTCCGGTGTATGTAAGTATTCTGAAAACTTAAATAGCCTTAAGGCTCAGAACCCTTGTTGTGTTTTGCGATCTCCCAACCATAGGGCCCTGTAAAAACCCTAGTTTTTATCTTATTATACATTTTAAAATTGAATTTAATTGCAAATTTCTTTCATTATGTTATTTAAATTTATTATGTTATTAGATTATATTTGATTATTTAGAACATGAAGTCAATCGATTGCATGTTTAGCGTCTCTGCTAGTGATTAAGAGCGCTAGAATTTGATTTGTTTACTCGTAGTTTATTCTCCTATTAGATTAGTAGGTTTCAAAATATGTAGGGCATATTAAATTTTAACATAAAAATTCCAACCAATCCTAAGGCATATACATATTAAAATTATAAAAATGATAAATAACATCTATTCATTTAGTAAAAGTAAATCAATCCCTACACAAAAAAAAAACATCCAAATTAAAACAAAATGATATATATTTGACTAAATAATAAATTCAAATAAAAAAATCTTTTTATATAAATGATAATAACACACAATAAGAGTAATATAAAGTTCAACATAAACATTAAAAAAATTACAAATTAATAATATATATATATGCTTTAATAAAATTGAAAAACTTTTAAATTTTGTAATAAATTTAACAGATAAATTCAAAATAAAATTCAAGAAGAGGTTAATTAATAAATTACAATCAATTAAAAAAATACTAAATAAATAAATCTAAAAATTCAATAAATCATTAAAAATTTAATAAATCATTAAATTAAATAATCTAAGCTCTAAAAATGATTAATTAAAATAACAAATTTAACAAATAAATTCTAAATAAAATTTAAGAAGAGGTTAAATAATAAATTATAATCAATTAAAAATATTAAATAAATAAATCTAAAAATTTAAGAAATCATTAAAAATTCAATAAATCATTAAATGAAATAATCTAAGGACTAAAAATGATTAATTAAAATATCCTAAATAATCAATCACTAATGAACTTTAATAATTAAAATACAACATAAAAATGAACTGAAAAACACTAAATCACCTAAAATTTAAATTTGAACATTTAAAAAAATTCCTTTGACCTTTCAATAAACTAAATTCAATCGATTAGAAAACTTCAACTAATGATAAACCTAGGATATATCCCCAAGCCACACAGCCTACTACACACATTTAGATTTATTTGCTATGACAACCAATTCTAACTTTAGGTTATAGCGGTGTTTACTTTCTTGCTGCTGTGTGATGGGCTTTCTCGTTGTTTTCATTGCTTGTTGTTTGCAAAATTGATTGTTTGATGTGTTTATTTATTTCTGCAATCTGTGAATTGATGTGATGAACGATAGATTACTTTTAAGTTAGGAACGATTTAGATGCTCACAGATTTTTTGCATGTGGCCATGCTCATGCAGGGCTAAATCAAAAGGGGCAAATTAAATATTTAAACTGACATATTTTTTATAGGTGCAAAATATTAAGCCCCATTAAAATTAAAAAAATGTGACCAAGTGTGGATGATGAATTTAATTTAAATGCAAATATATAATTGCTTTGGATGATTTTATTATAATTACTTAGGATAACCTTGCATGTGGTTTAGAAATTTTTTTTTTTACTTCTGAGATGTAATGTAAATGTATTTGAAAGAGTTGTGATGTGAAAGTGATTTAATGTCGGGATATCACATCCAACTTGGAATCCAAAGAAGAGAAAATATCCCTTAGGGGAATGGTTTCTTCTATTTGGAAAGCTAGGTTATGATGATTTTAATATTAAAGGGAAAAGAAAATACCTCTTCGGGGATAAGTTTTTTTTTTTTCATTTGGATATCCAAATTCAATGAATTCAAGGAGCTTGCAAAAGGAAAGAAGACGAAGGGAAAAAGTCGAAGAAGTGAAGGTGAAGAGATATCCCATTTCAAAATCACTTGCGCTAGTCTTAGAATTAGAATCTTGGTTGTTGTTAGTGGTGCTTGGCCACTTTACTTTTCTGCAGACCGTTGGTTGTAAATAAAGTGGCACTTGTCATATGAAATTTAATTTATTTAATTGGTTAATTTGATTGATTGTTTACATTATTTGTGCAATAAAAATTGTTTATTTTTCTAGGTTTTTTTCTTGCATATCGTATTTTGTTTTAGCCTAGATACGATCAGAGATTTATGAGGGTATGAATAAAATATTTTTTATTTAAAACTTAAATAAATTTTTTAGGCTCACATAATAACTCTAATGATCTAAGAAGTAAGCTCGAGATCATCGAGAGTTAGCATATATGCATATTATTGTTTACTCTTCCTTGTTAGGCATATCTCCGCTTGCAGGGTTCTAGCATACCACTTAGCCTATTATGGTGCAATTTTGTCCAAGGGATATTGTGTAATTAGGAAAAAATATATTTTCTAAGTTTGATTTTAAAACTGTTTCATAATCATTTTGTATGCATTCGAGTCAATCAGTATGCATTGCATTAGATATAAATTAAAAGAGTTTAAAATTTTAATTGCATTTTACTTTCAAGCATCATTTACACTACATATGTAAAGGGGCCAATTATGATTTGTTCTAGATGTCGACCCCAATTCTTCAAAACTTAAACAACCTCCCTACCTATCTTTCATAAAAAAATCAGACACATGATTTTAAAGCGCCTAAGTGGTTAACTGGCTCCCCAATCCAGGCCGGGGTAAGTCCAGATTTATACTTCATTAAATAGGTTCGGATTATTACTTTGTAGTACCCAATTTAGATTTAGGTTCTGAGGAAGATTTCAAATCTTAAGTACTCACCTTCCGAGGATATCATCTCAAATTTCTAATAAAATGTCAACTTAAACATAAAAATTCTATCCCAAATGTAAAACCCAATATATAATAGATTGGAGTTGCCTTTGAGCTTCTCAGAATCCGACACTTACTTTTCCTCCTTTGACTTGCTAAGAACTATTCAACATTGAGCTTTCTCCTTAAAAAACTTCATGGTTCTTTTCTTGTCTTTTACTTTGTAATCAAAATGTATGAATCCTTGCTTTAATCAAGAGTTTTCTTAGGAGCACTCCTAGGATATAATTAACTATAGGGGCCCATATAAGGATTTGAGAACTGCATATTAAAATAAACTTTGTTTTATTCCTATAAAATAAGAAAAAAAAATCTCTGGGAACGTAGATGTCCTTTAAAAACTCATTTCTAATTTTAAATTTTATTTATAGAATGTTATTATTGTCTTTTTAGATAATATAATATTATATCTCTTATATTCAATATTAGAAATGATGAATTTTATAAAACTCATTTTTATTTTTAGATGTCTTGAAGAATGTTATGTTCGTCTTTTAGTCTTTTAAGATGATATAATTTTCTCCTTGTTACATCTAATCAAAAGAATGGATAGATCTTCAAAATCCTATTTATATTTTTAAACATATTCTATAGAACTTCATGTTCATCTTTCGAGATGATATATTATTCTTTAAATTGTGTTTGATCATTAAAATATCATTTTCCAAAACCCTATTTTGATATTGAATCAATTGTATAATATTGTGTCAATCTCTCGATACTATATTTTATTCTCAAGCAATATTTAATTATAAAATAGGAAAAGTCTGAATCTGTGTGACATTAAGTTTCCCCCACACATAGTCTTTAGTATCTCTCTCTAACTCAGTCAAAAATTGCATTTGATGTCAACAAACTCTCATAATTCATGCATCGGGTTTATTGCAATGCAAGCCAAATGAATTATTTGCTATCTTTGAGCCACTAGTCATCTTGGCCTATTTCTTAGTAGCAATTCTCCTCTCATATGCTGACTGGGCTTGCAATATTATGGATCAAACTTCCACATGTGCTCACATTATTTTCCTTGTCCACAATGCCATCTTTTGGTGCTCCAAAAAATAATGTATTGTCACTTGCTCATCTACCGGAGAAAAATACCATGCAATTTCTTATATAACTATTTAAATCACTTGATTAAAAACTTTACTTTTTTAGCTTAGTGACTCTACCCATCATACTAACTGTATATTATGATAATATTGATGTAAGATACTTAATTGAAAACCTAATTTTTCATTTAAGTATGAAGCACGTTACCCTTGTCCACTTCATTTGAGAAAAAGTGCAAAACTATAACATTTGCCTCTCATGTGTCATCTAATGATTAGCTTACCAATGCTCTTACTAAGGCTCTTTCTTACCGTCTACTTGACAATCTACGTGTCAAAATTGGTGTCATCTCACTTGACTCCATCTTGAGGGGGCTAATTGGAGAAATTAAATAAATTAATAAATTTCTTATTTTTTAATTCCTTTATTTTGGTCCATATATTAAACTAGCATTGATTATAGGTGTTAATTCACTTTTGCATTTGATTTCCTTTCATTTATTCTACATTAAATTGACATTCATTATGAGTGTTAATTCACTTACCTTTTTATTTTCTTTCATTTTGTATATATATCAAATTAATATTCATTACAGTTGTTAATTCTTTTTTTTTTGTTCTTTTTCTTTACCATTTTATAACAATAAATATTATACAAAGCTTGTAATACAAAATCAAGGAGAATAATTATTTCCCTTCAAAGTATCTTTCTCAATATTTTTAGCAAAAACACTGTACTGGTTGGGGAAGAAAAAATAAGAAAGAAGAGCTTCATTATCTTCAAAGTTTCTCCCTTTCATACTTGTCGTCAACCAATGATTTTTTGTGAGAATTAAATCTTTTCTTTGATTAGAATTTTTTTTTCAATGATCGTCAATAATCCACTTATGAATATTCATCTATACCTCTTTTCAACAATGAATGTGTTTTAACTACATGTGACTCTATAGATCTGTCTTAATTATCTATGTTTTTTTATTAAAAGTGAATATCTTACTGAAGAAAGAATTCATTGTTTTGCTTAGATTAATTATTAAGTTGATAGAGATAATATTTGGGGTTTGGTAAAAGAGCATTATCTTGTTCTTATTATCACTAATAAGGTTCACCTT